AAACAGCGCCCCCCCCCCCCCCCCCCCTTTTTTTTTTTAAATGAGGATATGTTTTGTTTTCAATCACAATGGTAATTTTACTAGAATAACTCTTTGGGTACTACCCAGCAACTTTCTCTTTGACTGGCAATTTCCAAGGGTTTGGACGACTCAAAGATGACAGTTTTGTTGTTCATAGGGTCGGTTGCCATCTCTCCTGTAGAGCTGAGACACTTTAATTAAAACAGCCATAGTTTGGCAAATGTGAGTACTGGTAAAAAAAAAAAAAAAAAAATGCTATACTGCCCTAGGAACTTACAGTTTAAGACCGCTCATTTACGTACTTATTTAGCTGGCATATAGGAAACCTTCAGCTCTGTAATTAATGACGGAGTAACTTCAATTTGACTAGCCAGTCAGCCACAACAGCAGCAGCCTTCTTTTCTTCTGAAATTGGTTTACCGAAGCAATGATATGCAGAAGCAGAAATCAAAACAGCCTGCCAAGATTCTTCAGGTGTCCTACCAGGGTGGTGAGCGTACCTAGCTTAAGCTAAGATTTAATGAGCTCCTAGTTATCTTTGTGTCTTTGCCAGTAACTGCTTTATACTGTTTAAGCTGCATATATTCCTGCTTGCGGAATTTGTTTGCATGCAGATAAAGATGCCCAGTGGTTCATAAGAGGGTCAGTAAGAATCATCTGTATAAACTGATCAATGTAACTGAAGACGCCTACATTGAAGTGGCTTTTTCATCTCAAGGTTGAATGCCAGGTAGACTCCTGGTCCCCATCTTCCTCCATTTCTACAACACATTATGGGCCTTTCCACATCCTGCATGTGTGTCTGCCTTCACCACCACAGTAATTCTACCCTCATATCGCTCACTAACTTCTCCTTGGCCTGAAACCTAAGCAAAAGCCAAGAGCAAACCATGTGCCAGCTGGCTGGGTTGGTTAGTACCTACTGTCTTATCAGGTGAACTAAAGGTACCCCCCTACTTCTTTCTGACAAATCAAAAAGCACACCAGAGACCACTAGTGGTCTTGAGCTGTTACAAGCCAAGTACAAAATTTCATCTCTTGAGGTTTCCACTCTACTGATAAAGTTGGCTGAAATTGGAAAGTGGCTTAAAAGCACTAGAGCCTCCTCCTCCCCCATCTGGACAAACACATGAAGTATGGCGAGAGAAGCCCCGATTTAATAGGAAACCGAGGATAAAAATTCGATGTCACCTGGTGTATACAGTCGGCATGCATGACTAACTTAACGAGCTGTGCTAAACAAATCCTTCCCATACCTTTCAGTTGGATATCCTCTTCTCTGCCTTTGTTCTCTTCTTTTCCTACTGCTTGCTGTTGAGCTGCAAGTGCAGTGAGTTGCGCAGACTGTTTAATTAGGGATACCCTGTAGAAATAATTTCTCCAGAACACCTCCTCCTTTACACTAGAGAGGACAAACAGATTTTGATTACTACATTTGGAAATATGCTTCCTTTTACAACCTAGCAATGAAATAAAATTAAATTTGCAGAGGGAAGGAGTAGACATAGCTGCCATTTAAGTACAAATTTAAAAAAGGTATTTGTGACATTAACACAGTTTAAAAAAAAAATCCATCGTTGTAGAAGTTCTTGATCTCTTACGAGACAGTTACAATGGACTTGAACATAATAATAATAAAATGATGATATGACTTCAGAAAAAGCTTAACAGCACGTAGCAATACACAATTTAGAAAAATATAATGCTATTCCATCTCTCTTGCCAAATTATCTAAACAAACCCAACAAGCCAAATAACCCTGTTCTCTTTACTTCCTCTCTAAAGCCAACACTCTTATCATTGCCAAACTATATTCACCTACATCTTCCCTAGACCTGACATGGAACTGGAACATCTTTGATCTACAGGCAGAAGCTGTTCCTAGATTGCAGCAGAACTATTCCACTACCTTCACATCTTTCAGCATGTCTGCAGGACCTTCAGTAACTGGAAAATGCCATCTCGGAAACGACCAGCTCTGATAAATGGGAGACTACCCCATTTCTTAGGTAACATTTCCCTCTGATAATCCTCCAGCAAGCAAGAAAAGACCCAACTTTAACCCAGAGGGAAGAGAAGTCAGAAATGGCAAGGCCTGTGGGGAGGAAGGTGCGTAGGTCAAGAAAGAAAGAAATAAGAGAGTGAAGTTACCTTCCTGCCCATTCAGGCAAACAGTGACTATTGAGATTAAGAACAGGAAAAAAACCCCCTATTAAGCAATGTGGCAGTATAAGCAAGGACAGCATGACCAGAGGCTGAAGATGGACTATCAGAGACAGATCTGATGAAGACTTAGAACACAGGCAGAGCTTTAGGACTGACAGCAGCAAAGAGCAGCAGGGAAGGAGGTAAATAAAATGAGGAGCTGGGAAGGTTCATGAAAGGAGGAGATTTAAGAGAGAAAAGCTCACAAAAAAAGATGTTTTCTTTTCTGTTTCCATCCTTAGACAAGGAGATTAATGTTGGCAACTCCTACTTAACAAGAAAGTTTACCTGTGAAACGAGCTTTAGGAGCAGAGTCTGGGGCTGGACAAGGATGGAGAACAGCACTGGAATAAAGCTGGGATCAAGAAGCCATACTGGAACAGGCCATAACTGCTGGCACAAAGACCTTATGGATCTTTTAGTTAGGTCCACTAGAAGGAAGGCAGTCGCAACACAGAGCTTTTTCCATTGCCTATTCAAAACCAGGTTTTTTTGCTTGCGTTGCTGCTGTTTTGTGATGCATTCTTTTACCATGTCTCCAGGGGACCTCTGACTATCTCTAGTAACGTTTCTGGGTGTCAGTTACACCAACAGATCTGAACGTTTTTGTTGCTGCTTTTACCTTTGTTTGGGAAAAAGATTTTCAATTAATTTAGCACACTGGACATGGAAAAATTTAAGGCCTCTCCCACTCTTAAGTCAACAGGCCCTTATTAGTTCTGAATGTCTAACAGATCTACTTCTGTTCTTTCCTCCAACTGCTAAACCACAATGCATGTGCAGTATTACATGCATGTGAAATTAACAGATGTAAAATATATACAGAGGAAGTACATAAAGAAAGAACTGAAGGAAGTGAAAAGAAAAAGGAGTAATTTATGAATGTTTACAGACACATTAAAAGTACAACAATACATAGTTACCAGCAGAAATTACTTACTGTTTGGGAACGAGATCAAACCTCATCCTATTGAGAAGTTCATCTTCTTGTAACATCACCATTGCAACAGGGTACATTTGATCAAAGTCAAAATTAAACTGCACGCCTGCTGGAGGATCCCGCAGAAAATTTCGTTTATCCTTTGAAGAACATATTTATGGTCATTAACTGATATCAGAAAAAGGGTATCCTATTTCACACACAAGACCAGCAAAGCAATCCCACTTCTCACATAACTAGCATACAACAAAGCTGTAAAGCCTTTATAAAAATAAAAAATTATATTGGGGATCTACTTTGGCTCAAGTTGATACTGAAAGAACTATTTACTCTTGCACATGATCAGTGCAGTGCCAGACACATTAAAAGTAGTATATTGAAAATACATAATTTAATAATGCCAGCCAAACTTACTTGGGGGGGGGAAGGGGAGGAAAAGGATGTTTTAACCTCTCCAACAGAAAAATTTAAAATCTTACAGGAAACGAAATACTTACTGCTGATAAGGCCAGTATTTGTTGTTGAATTGTCTCTTCTTCATTGCTGTCTACCCAGGGAGGTACTGCTGCTTCTGTTATTGAAAGGAGGAAAATAATTGCATGTGTATTACTTTAAAAAAAAATAAACCACCTTAAATAAAGTAACATATAACGTCACAAAAATAAGTAGACTTACATCAGTAAGCCAATTCATTGTTCCTTTTTCCTAAACTAAGCTCATGGCATAAGAGAGACACTCTAGGAATGGATCTTTGCTTATCAGAGGTAAAAAAAAATAAAAAAAATTTGCTGGTTGCTGATTTCTGTTATTGTAAATCTAAAACTGTAGGGATTTGTTTGAAGTGTGCACCAGTCAGAACTTGGTGCCTCTTAGTTTAGTCACTGAAGCAGTGCTGTAGAACTGGTTAAGCTGCCTGCACATAGAAATTTCTAGATTAACTTTAAACACATAAACTTAGTTCAGACAAAGTTTTCAAAATCACTTACTATTGTATTAATTTTCTAACACCCAGAAGACACTAATTCTTTAATGATGGAGAAAAATAAGTTAAAAATTTTTTATAAGTTACAAGATGTTATACACTGAATAACATACTCAAGTTCAGCTGATTTACATATTTACACAGATACTTCCAAAATAGTTCTGTAGGCTGTACATAGAGGAAAATAAACAATTGTAGTTGTATAGAAATCTATTAATCTCTTCACTGTCAATATAAATTCAGCCTACAGAGACATCGTGATGCATCTGTAACAGTTAACAAATAATTCTTGTGCACTTAAACTAACGATGCTTATTTGCCTATGCACCTGATATCAGCAAGATCTTTCACCCACATGGATTCACACCTCATGCTAATGTTTCTTTCTGTTAGGCCATCTGTTACTCCTTCTTTCACCTATCTAGCTACCTATTTTCATGAAACTTGTAGAAATACATTAATAGATGCCAAAGTTTACTAACAGAGACAAAAAGAAATACAGGCAACGCAATCATGTAAGCAGCCTTGCTGCTTATTGCGTTCAGGTAACACATTAAAAGAGATAAAACCCAATGATGAAATGCAACGTAAAAAAAAAATTGTGTTTATTTTAAACTCCCAAATAGATCCACTGATGTCAATAGTACATGGGTGGATAACTCAAAGGATTTAGATCACAGATAATTATAAAGCAAATGATTTATGGGAAAGCAAAAGAGCAATTAAGCCTTTAATGTAAGCAGAGCAACTCCTACAGCAAAACTAATTAAATAGTATAGTGCAAACCCTAACCCATGTTTTTAATTTCATTACGAAAATGTGACATGATTGCTAAAGCTCAAAAGTAATCAGCATGCCTGTTTTCAATAAATACACAGGCTTAACATTCAAAACAACAATAAGAGATCAGCTTTGCTAGCACAGTGATCTTTGAGTTAATTTCATAAAGCTGAATTTGGTTAAAAAAAGCAAATCTAAACCAACTAGATAACGTAACACTAACCTCACTTAAAAATGTCATCCTCCTATTCCACGATATATGTTGAGTTCTGCCATCATGTGTTTCATTAAACAGTTTTCTTTAATAAAGAGTTTTGATAGATTGTTTAGCTACAGCTCAATCATCCAGCTTCCAGCAAGTTCTAGCTCATGTAACGTTATGTATTATCAAAAAAGCATACGTTACCTGATTTTTTTGTTTGCTGCTCTTGGACAAATTTTTTCTGTTCCTTCTGAAAATCTCCAATAATTGTCTAAAATAAAAATTATGGAACAACAATAAAAAAAAAAATCATTCCTCCTGTTTCATGTTCACTCAGAAAGTGCTTTCAAATACATTGCAGGATCATATTCTTATATCCCTGGTGGCCTTTATTCTAAGTTAAAGGTGTTTCATGTAAATCATACATTCTCCTTTACTGAAACATTCAATTTTGCCTTTAAAAGTTTAAACGGTTGTGTAGGTTTTCAAGATTATATTTATAGTTTTATCAAGTTCAGGGGACAAAAAAAAAAAAAGGAAAATCCTAGCTGATAATTCGAACATCAGCATACTATGTATATACACTTACTGCCTTACCATATCAAACCCAGACAACATAGACTGTTTTGACTTATTCAAACATGTTTTAAAAGCATTAAACTACGTTCAGAAATATCCTATACTGAATTTAGAATTAAAGAATGGAGAATGGTCTCAGAAGTCAGCATGCCATAATCTAGAAGTAACAATGCAAATGTTGTTCTGTAGTTGAAAGCAGAGGCAAAAAGCCCATGAAGCTAGAAATGAATACCGCTCTCAAAATACAAATTTTATGCAGTGAGGTCTTTGGCTTAACAAGTTGCCAAAAAGCATGCAAATCTTCAAGCTAAATCCTGAAAAATTCCTATGATTTTTTTTTTCTTCAACAACCCAGCATTTCAGTTCAAGATTAACATCAGTGAGAGAACTGTGGTGGTGCCCATTATACAAAATAGATCATTGTTGTTCCTCCTGGTTGTAAGTTATATGAATTTTTGGTATTTATGGAATAAAATAATTTATATGGTATAAGAAAAAAGCTTTATGATGATATAGCTATAATCCTGTTTCTCCTATATGTAAACTTATTTGTCAAAACAGGAAATTCATATTACTCTAAGGCATTCACAGAAAAAAGAAAATGGTATTTTATGCATAAAATAAGCTGTAGGTACTTAGCTACAGTTTCTTATGAGCATGATTATTTGCGTATTAAATTACCAAATAACCTTCTTACTTGATTTTTCCTTTTTGATGTGGATCAAAATTACGTTAGACTCTAATATACTGTAGTAGGAAATATAACTCTGCTATTATATGTAGACAGTTGTCACTAAAAAGTCAATGAAATCTGGAGACAAAATTCGATCATAGCAGAACTTTAAAAGTGTCATCTGATAATTAATTTGGAAGACAACATGAACACTAATTATATCCAGAAATTGAATTTCACTGTATTTTAAAAAAAAAAAAAAAAAAGCACCAACACTTCAGTTCCCCTGAAGGGGTGTCTGAGACAGGAGCAGGATGAAGGGTCTGGCTGCATCTCCCACATCTGACACTCCTGGATGCACAGTCCCACTACAGCTGGGATGGTTTTGGCCAGTTCCCTTCCCCTTCCCCTTCCAAGCGACCCTCGCTAACAAACACAGCAAAACACTACATAGCACTTATTCCTGCCTTTTTTTTTTTAATTCCTGCCAAGCTTGTGACTTAAAAGTGCTGGAAGAACACTTGCTGGCAGAAGTTAAGCAGCTGGAGCTGGCAGCCAGGAACGGGGAGGGCAAGAGACAAGCTGCAGGGTCGGAGTGGGGGAAAGAACAGGACAGCAGTGAGCTATTCCATTAACTCACTGGGTCTCCATGAAACCGTGCCTGTAAAGCTCTAGGGTCTTCGCATACAACATCCACAAAGCTGACCCAATTCTGAATCTTGCTTCGCAGATGCATTTAAGATGCAAGCTATAGCATTCTTCTTTCAACCTAAATAAACTGGGGCAAAAAACCAAACCCATACATCTCTCAGACGTCCCCCAACTGCCTGTCTACTAATTCTTCCAGCCTTTCCTCCTATGTCAGCACTTTTTGTATTTTCTTCTGGCCTTTCTGCAGTGAAAGTCTTTCTACATCCTTAAGGAATGGAAGACAGGTGCAGTACCGAATAAAGCAGAGTGACCATTTTGTGGCATGTCTGCCCTGAATAAACATTTCAGTTGCATCATTTATTGTGACAGGAGATACCTGCTCTTCAAATACATAATTCCTAAAGTCAGCTTAAAAAAAATGTTATCACATGCCAGATTTGCCATGTGTTACAACAACAGTAAGCGAACAGATCTTTCAGATCAAGTATCTAGAAATAAAGATACCTTATCAATGATACTGTCGATTTTTCCTTCTTCTACAGACTTCTTTATCGACTGTGCTGTTTCAGCAACGGATTCAGTTATCTTTTTTGTAGCAGCAGTGGCAAAGTTGAAGAGGTAACCTTTCACAGATGAGAAGAGAAAGACCTGAAAAAAGCCTTCTTTATATCCACTTATCTTACTAGACTGATTTTCCTTTCTCTTTAGACATTTGGATACTTACTGGAAAGCTTCTTTCAAAATCATTTAATCCAGCTTCTGGCCTACAAAGAACTCCTAAAACCCCATTTATGCTTTTCTAGTTCATATTCTTTAGTGATGATGATCAAACTGTATGTTTGACAACTTTCTGTAAACCAAACTTATATACCTGAATCTTGTTTACTAAATCAAACATTCCTAATGGTCTTTGAAATATTGCTTTCCAATGAATTTTCTGAAGCAATGTGTCTTTCCTAATTTCATTTAAGTATTTTGGAGACATTAAGCAATAAAGTAACTTCAGCAACAGTATTAAAACAGAATTATATATTTAAGAATATCAACATGCACAATGAAGTCTCATGAAGTAAGGCAGCAAATGCATGAAAAATTTCAGGCAAGTAACACTTGAGATACCTTCAAAAGTCTTAAGATAGAAGCTTTCTTTTGATGTTTGCCCTTTTCTGTTTTGCATTGTCTTCCTCTTTTTAGCTCCATGAGGAGCGCTGTGGCCCTGTTTGCTTATTTTTATGAGTATGTTCAGCGTCAGAACAGCAGTAACAAATACTTCCAAAGACTAACTAGCATTTTTTACATTAGCAGTGCTGAAGTGAAGAAAGGTGGCAGGGAAAGAACTACCTAGCATGGGCAGTTGCATTGTACTGTTAATTTTTAATTAAGGAGAACAAACTTGCAAGCAACAAGATGCGTATCGCAAACCTTCAGAAACATTAAGCATCAGTTTATTGACAAAGGATCTTAAAACAACATTGGTATCGTTTATGCCACAAGCACTTTATTACGTTTGAACAGTTGTATTATGACTGTAATACCACAGTTACAGAATATACAATGATAAAATATTGGCAAATGCCATAGTAAATACAATGATATAATAATTGCAGAAGGACCTAGATAGATTGGAGCATTGGGCAATCATCAACGGCATGAAATTTAACAGGAATAAATGCCAGATTCTGCAACCGGGACAGAGTAACACCAGGCACGAGTTATAAGTTGGGAGAGGAGGTGGCTGGAGAGCAGCCCTGCAGAAAGGGATCTGGGGGTGCTGGTTGGCAGCAGGCTCAACAGGAGCCAGCAGTGTGCCCTGGCAGCCAAAAGGGCAAACCCCATCCTGGGGGGCATCAAACACAGCACGACCACCCTGTCAAAAGAGGGGATTATCCCGCTGTATGCAGCGTTGGTATGGCCTTGCCTTGATTACTGTGTGCAGTGCTGGGCCCCACAATTTAAGAAGGATGTGAAGGTCCGTGGAGGCGTTCAGAGGAGGGCAACAAAGCTGGTGACAGGACTGGAAGGAATGTCCTGTGAGGAGCGGCTGAGGACTTTGGGCTTGTCTAGCTTGGAGGAAAGAAGGCTGAGGGGTGACCTCATGGCTCTCTACAGCTTCCTGAGGAGGGGACATGGAGAGGGAGGTGCTGAGCTCTTCTCCCTGGGATCCAGTGACAGGACACGACGGGAATGGTTCAAAGCTGCAGCAGGGGAGGTTCAGACTGGACGTGAGGAAGCGTTTCTTTACTGAGAGGGTGGTCAAACCCTGGAACAGGCTTCCTAGAGAGGGGGTCGATGCCCCAAGCCTGTCAGTGTTCAAGAGGCATTTGGACAATGCTCTTAACAACATGCTTTAACTTTTGGTCAGCCCTGAAGTGGTCAGGCACTTGGACTAGATGTTAGTTGTAGGTCCCTTCCCACTGTAATAGTCTATTCTCTTCTAATTCTAAGGTTAGAAGTAGCAATGGTGGATCTAAACTGTGTAGTAACTATCAAAGACATATTTGATGCATTAGTAGGAATGCAAAGCATGTGCAATGGTAAGAATATTTTAGTTATTCCAGAAAATCAACTTTGACTTTTATACAGGGGACTTCTAAAAAAAAATAAAAAAATAAAATAAAACCACCAAAACAACCACCAACCAGCGCTTCTGTTTCAAACAAACAAAACCCACCTTCCTTCTCAAGACCTCACAAAAATTCCAGTTTCCTTATGGGTTAGACATGTATGAAATAACCTCACCATGCAAAAAACAAGTGAGTTGTTTTAACACAGTTGTTAGCCACTGTTAGAACGAGTTACTTTGGAACATTTACGGCACTTTTTGGAAAGCTGACTGTTCTTTGTGATGCATAAAATATTCTCTCTTTACAATATCACCAAATCAATACTGAAACATGCAGAGGTCTAGCCAGCCCTTAAACAAGCCAGTTTTTTTATATGCAACTTCCACTTAAGCCACAGACTGGTGGCAACCAAACTTCCTTCAAGTACTCGCTAGCATTTTTTATATCTGTTATCAGGCTTTACAACTCATCATATACTTCACATTGTATAAAAAAAAAAAAGGCCTATATTCTACACTTTAGATAGAGACACATATACTATCCCCCTTATGACAGTAGAGGAAGCAGCAGCCTACTGGATTGTTTCCTCCCTACCAGCTTTTATTGGTGGTTTTATGTATCCCTGGAAACTTTCTCATACGCCATTGTTTTAGGTGCAAAAGGTGCCGAAACATTTGCTGTCCAGCAACGTTTTGGTATTGTTGGGAAAAGTGGTTTTGGCCTGTCCTGGAACCTGTCTGAAGAGCAAAATGCTTTTTATTTCCATCAAGGGCAAATATTCTTCTGAACTAAGGTACTTACAAAACCTCAGAGGTGGTACTTGGCCTTAGAAAAACAGAATTAGTGGTGGAAAGCAACACTTCCACTTTCAGACGGCCAAGAAACTTTCCCTGCCTCTTATAATCTATGCCTGTATTAACCATATGCATCTAGCAGTATTTTTATTAGTTCATATTGACAAACTCTCCTAACCTTTGTAATGATGCGATAACGAGCAAAAAATAATCTATGTAAGGCTGTTTTACCAGTAAAATTCTTTATGTGCTAGGGCAGTCTTTCCATGCAGCTACCCTGGTTATTAGTCATGCAGATGTTTCTAGAGTTACCATGTGTTAAAACAGTGACGGCCAAATCCTTATAAAAAAGCCTTTCCACCGCAATCTTCTCTGGTGTCACAGATGATGAATCCATGGATTAACTAAAGCAAATTCTCACTTCCAGAGCAAATTATGGGATGGACCTTTATATCTGTAACAGTCAATACTTATACTTCCCCTGAAATTCAAAGTCTTTTTTCCCTTTCTGAACAAGCAGAGTGCCTACCAGATTAGGATCGATTTACAACAGCCAGACAAGTACTTGACCAAACTATACAGATAAACTGCTGCAGCTCAGATAGCCCAAGGCAAAGCACAGTAAAGAACCATCTCAGACTAACCTTTCAGATGATATTGATCCAGCATTTCAGAGCACCAGTAAAAAAACCCCATACTTTAGCAACGAGTACAGAACTGTACTACCTACACTTCACTTCTCCCATAGTGACAACAGAACAGATACTTAAAGAAATGCTGTTCATTTACTAACAATTCTGAAAAAGATGATAACCGAAAGGAACATTTCCAGCCATTTGCTTGGTTCATATTTTAAACATCCAGTTTTTTTTTTTTTTATGTTTTTTTGATTTCCAGTGAGGCAACATCCTTTAACAGTGCACAGAATCGTTAGCAACTCAATCAAATATTTCTCATTGCCAGTAACTGCTATTCAAAACGAATCTCTGAAATGCAGAAAAAATGAAGATGAAATTAGAGAATTCCAGCTTTATCAATTGCACAGGATCGTTTCAGAACTGTGGAAGAGACTGGACAAGCTATATGAAAAACTCCACCCTGCGAAACACATGGTAGTTGTGCATGCTATAGACTGCAGTTAACAGATGTGATTTAGAAGAGGTGCAAAACAAAAGATATGTGAAAATATAAAATAGAAAAGGGTAGGAAGCAATGACTTTCAGAACTTTTCACCAAGATAATTTTCCAAACTAGCTAGCCTAACCTGAATTAGCATTTACATCTGGAAAGATATGCTTCAGGTTTTTTTCTGTTTTCAAAAAAGCCTTCAGGTCACCTCATAAACTTGCACTGCCCATTTTGCGTCACTGCGCAAGCTACGTTAGAGTTGTTGCTATTTAGCTGAAAAGCGGTTTTTCTTTTACGTTTGCTGAATTGAGAACAAACGTGCTTAACTCATCTTAAAACCTGTCTGTAATTGTTTAGCTCGACCACAGCTTTGCTCGAAGTACCACTGGTCAGTACCAGTGACTTCTCCTCTAAGCACGCATTAATCCGGTCTACCTTCCCTCCTCCAGTTGCCACCCCGTGCTACTCTCACCACACGAGGGGAGTTTTGCTGCCAAGACCACGTTTTTTTTGTTGTTTTTTTTTTTTCTTTTAAAACCAGACCCACAGCAGCACTCCCCGCGTGAGGACGCCTGGGCGCGACACACCTCTCCAGCATCGAAGCCCTCCTTTCACTCAACCCTCTCCCCCGCACGAAGGGCCCCCGGCGGCGATGTGTGCGGGAGGGGAGGGGCAGGGCAGGACAGGACAGGACACTCACTGCCGAGTCCCTTGGCCTGGCTGAGGAGCGCCTCCGAATCCGCCTGCAGCTCCGCCTGCTCCGAGCTCCGCACGGCCGCCTCCGCGTCTGCCGCCGCCGCCTCCTCCTCCTCCGCGGGGCTGCTCCTCTCCTCAGCCGGCAGCAGCTTCTCCTCACCTGCCCGCTCCAGCCCCAGCCAGCTGCCCAGGCCGCGCAACATGGCGCGGCGACGGCCGCGCTCGGCCGTTAACGGGCGCTCCGAGCAGGCCAGCCGCCCGCTCCTTCCGCATACGCCACTTCCGCCCCGTTCGCGGAGGAAGGGCGGCGGC